AGAGGCTAAAAGTAGTGAGTGACAGGCTAGCTAAAAGACCAAAGGACCAAGATACCTGCTACTAATACCAAAAGTATAAATAGTTAAAGCTAAAAGTAGCTAATGGTATAGAAAATATTTCAATGCATTTATATCAGGAAACTATTAAGTTAAAAAAAAAAAGTTTAAAATCATAAAAGTCACAAAAAAACAAAAGTCTTGCTCCTGAAAGAGATTAATGTTTTGACATGAATGGCTAAAAAAACACAAAGTATCAGACACAGTAGATTGTAAAAAAAAAAAGTAAAGAAAAAAAAGGAACTAATTTCCTGTTCCTATTTCCAACATTCACAGACAATTTGGTGCAGCTGTGGCTGAGTGGTTAGAGCAGTTGTCCTCCAGTGGGAGAGTTGGGAGTTTGATTCCACCAGCAGTCACATACTGAAATGTCCCTGGACAAGACATTGAACCCCTCATAGCGTCTGATGTGTGTCCCATCGGTGTATGAATGTGTGTGTTGAGGTAAACGAGGGCACAGATTGTGTTGTGAAGAGCTTTGAGTATCTTGATAAGACAGAAAGGTGCTGTATAAGTACAGTCTACTGACCATTTCTTACATAAAGGTACATCATAAAAAATTGGAATAAAATGAAAACGATCAATATTTTTTGTCAGTTACTTCAGAAAGTGAACGTTATTTATATACTGTATTGATTCATTTCACATACTGTAATATTTACATCCATCCATCCATTATCTTTCCGAAGTCAGGTCGTGGGGCAGCAGCTCGAGCAGGGAGGTCCAGACATCTCTTTCCACAGCCACCTCTTCCAGCTCTTCTGGGAGGATTCCAAGGTGTTCTTATGCCAACAGAGACATAGTCTCTCCACCATGTCCTTGGTCTTCCCCAGGGTCTCTTCCCAGTTTGGACATGCCCGAAGCACCTCCCTAGGGAGCCGCCTAGGGAGCATTCTTATCAGATGCCCGAACCACATCGACTGGTTCCTCTCGATGTGGAGGAGCAGCCGTTCTACTCCGAGTCTCTCCTGATAACTGAACTTCTCACCCTATCTCTAAGGGAGAGTCCAGCTACCCTGCAGAGGAAACTCATTTCAACCATCTGTATCCACAATCTCACTCTTTCGGTCACTACCCAGAGCTCATGACAATAGGTGAGAGTAGGAATGTAGACCGACCAGTAAACAGAGAGCTTTGCTTTACAGCTCAGCTCCCTCTTCACCACGACGGACCGGCACAGAGTCCACAATACTGCAGACACTGCACCAATCCATCTGTCAATCTCACACTCCTTTCTTCCTTCACTCACAAACAAAACCCCAACATTCTTGAACTCCTCCACTTGAGGCAGAACTTCACCCTCGACCTGGAGAACAAACATTCTGTCATCATTTCAGGACTCTTTGGATTCGTCCTTGGTCGTCCTCGGCACCCCCCGAGTGTGTACAGATCTCTCCTGAGGGAACTATTTGAACTGAGTGATTTTATCTGAACTCTGCAGTGCCTCTGTGTGTTGTCTCTGGACATGCTCACCATCCTTGCGTCCCCCCCCCCCCCACCCCACCCCCCACCCCCACACACACACACACACACGCAAACACATGCAGACTGTCAGCATGATTATGTGCTTATGTGCAATTTTTTTTTCATTATCATGCTGTTGATCTTCAACCAAAGATAGAGAGCATGTTGGGAATTTTTTTTGTCTCCAAACCCTATGTGTCATTTTTTTTCACCACTTATTGTCTGTCCAAACTGGTCTCACTTGTAAATGAATCTTTGAGGCTCAGTGTGATTTATCTGTTTAAATAAAGGTTGAATTGAATTGAATTGAATTGAATTGAATTGAATTGAATTGAATTGAATTGAAGAGAGCAATCCACCCTTTTACAGTTCAGGACCATGGCCTCAGATTTGGAGATACTGTTTCTCATCCCAGCTGCTTCACACTCGACTGCAAACCGCTTCAGTGAGAGCTGAAGATCACGGCACCATGACGCCAACAGGACCACATCATCTGCAAAGAGCAGAGATGGAATCCTGAGGCCACTGAACTGGAAACCCTCCGCCAGCTGGCTGCACCGAGAAATTCTGTCCATAAAAGTTATGAACAGAATCAGTGAAAACGGGCAGCCCTGGCAGAGTCCAACTCCCACCCTGAAGGGGTCCGACTTACTGCCGGCAATGCAAACCAAACTCTCGCACCACTTGTATAAGGACTGAACAGCTCGTAACAACGGGCCCCAATCCCATACTCACGGAGCACCCCCCACAGTTTACCCCGAGGAACACAGTGTAATGTCTTCTCCAAGTCCACAAAGCACATGTAGACTGGATGGGCAAACTCACATGACCCCTCGAGGACCCTAGTGAGGGTAAAGAGCTGATCCCGTGTTCCACGGCCAGAACGGAACTTGCATTGTTCCTTCTGGATCTGAGGTTCAACAAATATTCAGACTTGCTTCTCCAGTACCCCTGAATAGAACTTAACTGGGATAAGAAGAGTGATGTCCCTGTAATTGGAGCACACTTTCTGGTCCCCCATTTTGAAGAGGTAATGTTTCAAGGTTTTATTTCTTAGAATTTTGTTAATCATGGGGTAAAGGTCATGAAAACCCACAACTCAGTCTCAGAAAATTAGAATACTGTGTTGTGATAAAGTTCCATATTGGAAACTCGTACATGCACTATGGACAGACAAATCCTGGACATGAACATCAAATGACTCATTCCTCAAGTCCAGCCACTCCGGAACCAGAGACAACATCAGAAGTGTCTTACCTGCTGAGGATAAAAACAACTGGACTGTTGCTCAGTGGTCCAATGTCCTCTTCTCAGATAAAGTACATTTTCATGTAATTTGTAAATCAAGGTCCCAGAGTCTGGAGGAAGAGAGGAGAGGACACAACCACAAACCACCGAGCTACCACAGCCCTCTGTGTGGAGCAGAGAGCTCCATCTAGGGCACCCGGGGGAGCAGATGGTGGGAGTTAAGGGCCTTGCTTAAGGGCCCAGAGTGGGACAAATGAGGGTGGAGGCAGGTTTGGGTGCTTCACCTTTCACACCCACATTTTGATGTCGGTACCGAGAGTTGAACTGGCGACCTTCCGATCACAGGCTCACCTTCTCTAACCTCTGCGCCACCACTCCCCAACTTTATAACTTTGTATACAATCCTAACACAAAATGTACTGTTCATGTTTATACCCATCTCGGAAGTTTTAAGTGTTTTCATTGCCTGGATTTTGTATTTCGATCCATATACATTTGAGTTTGTTTTGTACAGCATTTGTTTTTTAATGGTTTGCTGCAACATGATTTTCACCACTGATGGACAATTGAATTTATTACATCAGAAAAAGGAGCAAAATGATGGACACTAAAACAAATAAGGGTTAGTTAAAAAAAAAAGTTAACTAAAAATATAGAACATTATTGTATTACCTTATGAAAGCAATGGTTCAGTATACAGTAGTCCTTTGTTTATCACGGGGATCCATACCATGAAGCCCCGCGGTAAGGGAAAAACCACGAAGTAGGAATAGTAGTACAAGTAGTAGTTTATTTTAGTATTTATATATTTACATATATATATATAGGCATTTTAAACCCTTCCCACATTCTTGCAATGTTCTAAACAATGTTTCTAAACACTCTAAGAGCACAGCATGTCATGAAATCAGCTCTCAGCCACGCCCACTTCTCTGCTGCAGAGCGGAGATCATGACACGCTGCAGGAGGAAGCTTTTTCTGCAGCACACAATTGCAGAAGGGTTTTTCTACAGTCGTGGACTTCACACAGGTGCTAAATAATTTTAAATAAATATTCCATGCCGATCGTGGGGCTCATCCATCAATCAGCCAATTGTGTCATGTTCAATCTTATTTTTTGGAAAACCGCGATAGAGCAAGTCTGCGATAAACGAACCACGAAGTAGTGAGGGACTACTGTAGTGCCATTTTGCATACTGTACTGACTGCAGGAGCAAGACTTCACAACCATCATCTCCAAGTTGTACCCAGATCAAGAAAAAACAGTTACTTCTTTTATCCACAGTCTGTAATTGCTGAGACTCGAGCAGAGATTCAGAGCACACCCCTCAGGGCCTAAAAGGTTAACCAGAGGAATACCATAGTTTAGTTCTCAACAGGGTGTTACATGTACCGGTACAAAACAAAACAAAATTAAAGTACACCCCCACACATAAAAATGTTAACATTTATTGCTGTTTCTGAATACCGCATTAAAAGCAAAAGCATTCAGAGTATACACAGAAATTATACAATTATATATGGTTTCACAAAGGCAGTGAACACATACTGTATAACAATCTACAAAAATCTACTTTACAGAAATTTAAAATTCTAAATATCAAAAAGTACAGCTGCAGAAACGGGAGTACAACTGGAGCCAGAAACAGTTCTGGGCTGTCCGTCAGTGAAACAACATGGTGACATCACAATACAAAGAAAGCGCCCGTCTTTGTACTTACAGCTGGTTTTGGAAACTGACTGACAGACAAAATAAAAAACATACTCCGGAATAAGTAAACAAACTGAAATCATTATAAATTATGCTTTGACTCGTTCAGAATCTCTCAGTTTACAGGACACCACTGCAAGGTAGCATGTCAGAGTATAGTTCAGTGGGACTGGTAGTGTGTTTTTGTAAAACTATGCTTAAAGACAAGAGAAGATCGAAGTTTTCCGCCTGACGAACAGAATGCACGTCCTGAACAGCCTCGAGTAACCAGGAGGTTTAAGTTATTGTTTGACTAAATTTTAAACAACTCAGAAACAAACAGTGGCTCTGAACTCTGGTCAGATGATAACTTGTATAAAAAAGGTTACATTAAATGCCTAAATGGTTAGAGTGGTACAAGAACAGAAGCAGACCACTGAACACAAGTAAAAGAGACAAAACCAACCCTGCTTACAGGGAACTTCAAATCAGGAAAACCAGTAAAATATTCCAGTAAAACAATTAAAAAAGTGATGCCCACATCGATGCCAGGTAGCTGTTTTTGGAGGAGTGTCCAGAAGTGGGACGAGGTGTTTGTCTTGTTTGAGGTGCCTTTGTCCTCAGGGACAGTAAGGCTGGACTCAAGGATGAGCTGGTTCATGGTCACATGGCTGCAAGGGGGGTCCTCAGTCTAGTCCTGCTCCATAGGCTCCTCAGTGGTCCCAGTGTGTGAAATGGCACTTCCGATGGCGCCCTCTGTAGGGGGTTCAGTCGTACTGCTGGAAGGAGAGACGGTGGAGTCCTCCTTGGGCGCCTCCACCCCCTCCTCTATGCTACAGCTGCTACCACCGCTGCTACTGCTGCTGACTGGGTCGCTGCTGCTCTCCTCACTGTCCCTGCTGGTCTCAGGTCTCTCCAGGACACCAGCAGGTTCCTGCTGATCGGTCTGATCCATGTCGCTGCCCTCCTCATCAGAACCGCACAGTACCTGCCTTTGAGCCTGCTCCTCCGGCCCTGAGCACATCTCAGCCTGGGTGCTGCTGGTTGGCTCTGAAGTGACAAAGACAAAAACAGGATTTTATAACCTCTGGGATTTTTACAAAGCCAGTCAACATTTTGTTCTGGTTTTATTTAACAGATTTCTAACTCCAGTGAACTTCCGCTGAGTTAGTTTGTGGATTCAGTCATTCAGATTTTTCTTTAGACCCCAAATAATTAGAGCAGAAACTCCACGCCACTTTGAAAACACAAATATCCTCTGAAATTTTTTCACATTTTTGTTTGATAGATATATTTTTCCCACCCTTTATCTTCATTACAGACCATCATACAGCAGATTCATCATCAGGAATTGTATGTGTATAATTTTGAACTTCAAATTTTCAATGACCATTAAAGCCACAGTAACTGGATTATTATTTTCCATAGACTGTAACTGCACATGTTTAATACTATAAACTGAACAGAAAATCAATTTTCCCTGCAGAGAAGCATCACATTTAATACAAGGTTATCAAACTGCGTGTGTGTGTGTTATATAAACGACATTTCCATAGCAATTATGCTGCATCGTGTGCAGAGTGGGTCCACTCCTTATTGTGCAGACTGATAGAAGTGACGACGAATAGAGAGGAGTTCATTTGTCTTTATTGAAGGAAATGTTTGTTGTCTCTTTAATCATCCAGCAAAGTGAGTGGCTGAGGAGACGAGGCTGAACTGTTCATTCACTGTTTACACACACTGAACTGTGTTCAGGTTCTTTTAAACATAATTCAGTGAACAATGACTCATGGCAGCCATTCATACTGAGATAATATTGAACTATTCCTTTTAATTTATTGAATTTTAACAAGAGGGGCAGCAAGGTGACGCAGTTGGTAGAGCTGCCCTCTCTCAGTGAGCAGGTCGCCCCGGTTCAAATCCCAGTCTGGGGTGGAGTTTGCATGTTCTCTCCGTACATGCGTGGGTTTTCTCCAGGTTCTCCAGTTTCCTCCCACAGATCAAAAACATGCATGTTAGGCTGATTGGTAACTCTAAATTGTCTCTGGGTGTGAGTGAGAGAGTGAATGGTTGTTTGTCTCTATGTGTCCCTGTGATGGACTGGAGACCTGTCCAGGGTGTCCCCCACCTCACACAGTGAAGGCTGGATATGGACACCAGTGACCCCCGCGACCCGAAAAGGATAAAGATGATGGAGTTTTAAAAAGATTGGACTTTATCTTTGATTCTAAAAGTGATTGAACCTTTTTTATAATCAGGTGTTTATAAGTTGGTCTGTTTTAAATGTTTTAGTAGATTCTGTTTGTTTTTCATTCAAAATAAACAAACAATGTAAAATATGTTCCCTCCTCCAAAAGGAGGCTGAGACACACAAAGAACCACCACTTCATATCAAAAACCCACCCACTCCAGCAGCTCATACCTTGCTCCTCGGTGGCAGCAGAGCTGGAGGCTTCACTCAGAACCTTCTCTTCCTTCTCTTGGACCATGGCTTCTGCTTCTTTAGAGAGGCAGGAGCTGTCCGACGGGTCAAGTGTGTCCACCTCCTGCTCTTCTTCATCCTCCTCCTCGTCCTCCTCCTCGCTGAACTTCAGTCTTTTTACTTCTTGGTGGTCAGGTTCCATGTCCTCTTCCTCGTCTGAGTGTTTGTTCTTCACAGCACTCCCAGGAGAGTCTTCTGAATGTGAAGCCTCGCTGACACAGAAACGAGACGCACAAATTAAATCCTGTTTAAGCTCGACAGGAAACAGAAGTTCTGCTGTGCTGTCACACCTCGTGTCTTTGTTGCCTTCTAGCTCTGTGCTGAGGTCTTTGTCGTCTGTGCTGTCTGGCAGACCATTAGCTGCTAGTGAGTTGGCCAGAGATAACTTTGGTCTGTTCAGTGGTCGGGGGGTTCCTGGACCATTCACTTTCCTAACATCAAACAAACCGAAGGAAGAAAAACTCAGATTTGAAAATGAATCCTGATATTTCACTCATTTACATGTAAAGGTTTATTTTTTACAACAGAGCTGTCGATAGAACAACCTCTCTGTAAATGAAGATGTGTTTCCTGGAAGCATCACTCCGTTCATCCTATTGACAGCACCGCATCCATTTTTTCTGAAGAAAAAGAAACTTCTACTTATCAGAAAATAAATGTGGACAGTATTGATGTAATTGAAAATGTTGTATAAACCTGTAACTTGCATCAAACACTTACTCTGAAGTAGGATGGACACAGCTTACCACCATTACATTCTAGAAGAAATAAGAAAAAAAACACACGTAACAAAAAAGGCTTTTACGTAAAAGAACTTTGCAGCTGAAGAGCTTACCTTCTCCACCCCTCTGAGAAACTTGTCTGTTCCTGTGTAGTTCCTTTTGGGTTCTGTGAGCAGCTCACACAAGCGCTGGATTGTGAAAGGGATTCTACGAAGACAAGAGAGCAAAAAACTTAAGATTCCCCCCATTTTCATTATCAAAATATTTTGGCTGTTCCATTTTAATGGACAGTGAGTCATCCGTCTCCATCTCTGTCCTCGCTCCAACTACCTCCATGTCCTCTCTAACTGCATCCATATACAGCATCTCCAGGCAGCTGCATTTCTAACATCCTTCTACCAATATACCCACTGTCCCTCCTCTGGACATGTCCAAACCATCTCAAGTCTGGTCTCTCTAACTTTATCTCCCAGTTGTTCAACCTGTGCTGTACCTCTGATGATCTCATTCCTAATCTTGTCACTCCTAAGGAGAACCTCAACATCTTCATTTCTGCCACTTCCAGTTCTGTCTCCTGTCTTTATGTCACTCCACTGTCTCCAGACCATACAACATAGCTGGTCTCACCACTGTTTGTAAACTTTTCCTTTGACCTTTGCTGACAACATTTAGTCACAAATCACTCCTGAAACTTTCTCCATCTACTCTGGAACTCTGTGACTCTGCTCCTTGTAGCCTCATTGCTCCACCTGCCATTCAGATTCAGAAAACTTAGTTTATCCCCACAGGACAATTCAGTTTGTCAGTTTCCATTCACACTCATGTACTCTGTCTTACTACAACTGACTTCCATTCAAATTCTTTCATGTGCATACCTCCACCCCTTCAAGCATTTTTATAACGAAAATGGCACCTTTAGTTATTTTTAATCATCTGTAGAGCTGCAAAAAAGTAAATTTTTATCCTTGTTCCATTATTCTCAGAGTTCTGAGGGTAACGGAACTCAAGTGACATCTGGTTCCCAGTGTCGCCAACATCTCAATAATAAAATAAGTTATTGGTTGTGCTAAAAGTTGTTAAATGATATCCCCCAATTTGAACAACTGTTTAGAGAAGAATAATGTCATTGAAATAACAAAAAGTAATAACAAATTAAAACAATCTAAATGTTTAGGACCATAAAGGAACTTTTGTCCAGTGTTGTTTTGGAGCTCAGTTCAAACCCTCCTTTACTCTGGCTTGGGAACGGCAAATGTAACCCAAAACAGAGACACCAAGTTATTTTAGTGCAGTGATTTACTACAGAAAAAAGCAACAACAACTGCATGGCCATGCCATCGTCAGACGTGCTCAACCCATTTGAAGTTTGGACGTGGTGGGGTGAGCTTCTCTGGCTGCAGTTGGGAGGGACACTGCGAGGACTGAGGCAGCACCCACTGCTGGATAAGAGGAAAGAATGATGTGTGCTTTCAGGTCACAGTTTCCAAAAGTCTCCAGAAACAAGTGAAAAAGCTGACAGATTGGTGACTAGTATTTTGTAAACATCACCACATCTCTCAGATTGTGCTTGTCATCAATAACCAGGTTTTATGAAAATGACTTTCCCTTTTCAGCATAAGATGATTTTAGTCTAAAACTCAGGCATGAAAGAAACATGCAACATGCAATCCTTCAAGGAATGCTATGCTTTTAATTACTGCATGCAAGTTTAGTGTACTTTAACTGCAAATAAAGTTTTTTTCTATTTCTAACATTAAATTTGCAACACAATATTTGTATTGCTGTAGCATCATAGAAGACAGGGTTTTAGCAGAAAAAATAACTAGTTTAAATAAAAAGGTCTGCAACATTACATAAGTAACATGTGAAGCTTTTTAATTAAAAATTAGGGAATATTTTTCTTAATGTCTGAGCAGAGGACGCAGCAAATTCTTTTCCAAGTGACGACCGATCTGGTAACGTCACTCCACAACAGAAGTGACGTTACCAGTTCTGCAATCCACATATTTGCTGATCACAGTCTCATTACAATAATGTGCCAACTTTGCTTGTTCTTCCATGATGCAATTCACCACTTTCACTGAACTAGATTTTTATTTTTTTAATTTAAAAGTCAGACACAAATCCTTTTGAGTATTAAGTAGGAATGCGCGATATAAACGGTATACGGTAGAAACGATAGAAATTTAGCCTACGATAGAGATCTGTCTTTACCGGCTAACCGCAGTAATGCTGTGTCTGAAGTAAAATCAGAGTTGTCAGTTTAATCGCTACTTTTTTTTGTTGAAAACTGTGCGTAAGTGGCGTTAAAGTCTTTTCTTCGAGAGCTAAGTAGCGAAGCTACAAGCTAACTACAGCCGGCTTGCCGTAGTGTTGCCGTATTCTGACGCATGCGCAAAACGCTGTGTTCCGTCAAAAGTTTTTTTTTTTTTTCCATTGAAATTTAAAGTAAGCGTTGGTCAGCTTTAGAGAAACCTGTTCTCTGATCTGTGAAAAGAACACTGTGTTGTGTGATATTACTGCGAGACCCTCTGGTCAAAGCTACAGTCATTTTGTGTCAGCTCTCCATTAAAGTAGAAGGAGTCGCCAACTAGAGGGTTGGAGGTGAAGTGTTTCAGTGTAAAATGCTGCTCTGTTACTGTTTATTTCTTAAGTAAGACTGGAAACTGTTAAGAGTTAACAACATATTTTTTTTGTTTAAAACATGTATCTAAAACTACATTTGATATATTTTGCACTACAAGAAAGAAGCCTAATGTTTATTATTTAAAAACTCTCTGGACCTAGTAGTGGAATTTTCTTAATTCAAAATATATGATGGCAAAAGGACACCCTGTGCTTTTTTTTTTTTAAACAAGTTTTATACCAAAAACATATCATGATATATATCGTTATCGCCACCCTGCACAATACATATCGTGATATGAATTTTATGCCATATCGCACATTCCTAGTATTAAGCATGTAAAACTTTGTTCTCTTCATTAGAATTTGCTATGAAAGCCTCCGAACAATAAAAACATTGCAATAGTAAAACATGCACAGCAACATATTTTTGTTTTGAAAGATTTAGCCTAAAATATTTACCATAGTTCTATTATTTCATTAGGCCATAAAACAAACAGAGCAATGTCAAAATATACTTGAACACTGTTCATGATTTAAGTGAGATTTTCAAATCACTCAATCTTATTGCAACTTGTCTTTCTAATAGGTGAAACTTACTGTTTTGGTAAGCGAGATGAATTATTCAATTAAATCGTATGCAGCTAAATGATTACCGTTACTAAACTGGTCTTTCTGTACAGAAAAAGTAAACACAGCCTACATTCTCAGGTTTCATGTTGTTGTTATCATTCAGCTGCTCGCTCCTGCAGGGCTCACCACAGGAAGCAAACTTGCATGAAGGATTTGACAATCATTTCACACTGGATGCCTTTCCTGACACAACCTAGGCTCAAACCTACAGCCTGAGGATTATAAGGCTGCGGCACTGATCCACATGCTACTGCAGCCCCTCACATTCTAGAAAAACTATTTGTGACCAGATTAGATAAATTTATTACTAAACAAAACATTCTAAGTAGCAGTCAGTATGGGTTTAGAGCAAAAAACTACATCAATGGCTCTCATGGAATTAATAGAACAAATAACTACTGCTGTCGATCAAAAACAGTATTGTGTTAGTATTTTTGTTGATTTAAAAAAAAGCATTCAATACTATTGACCACACTATTCTCCTTGAAAATTAAATAAATATGGTATAAGAGGACCAGCATTACACTGGGTATCTAGCTATTTGAAAGTAGGAAACAGTTTGTACAAATAAATGGCGTAAAATCTGACCTCTGCAATATCACTTGTGGAGTTCCTCAAGGCTCTGTACTTGAACCAAAGTTATTTATTTTATATGTGAATGACTTAGTGAATGTATCAGGACTCCTCAAATGTGTCCTTTTTGCAGATGACACCACATTTTTTTGTTTGGGTAAAGATGTAAAACAGATGTTGAAATTGATGAAGACAGAATTTGAGAAAATACAAACTTGGTTTAAACTTAATAAATTATCATTAAATTTAGATAAAACTAAATACATGATATTTAGTAACAAAAAGAGAACTGTTGATGATCCATTTAAAATTGAGGGTATTGCGATTCGTAGAGTTAATGAGATGAAATTTTTGGGTGTAATCATTGATGAACAGCTAACATGGAAAAATCACATAAATTCTGTAAGAATAAAAATAGCTAAATCTATTGCAGTACTATACAAAGTCAGTGAATTATTAAATGATAAAGCTTTGTACATGTTGTATAACACAATCATTGTTCCACATTTAATCTATTGCATTGATGTTTGGGGGAAAGCGTGTAAAACATTTACAAAACCTATTTTTATTTTACAGAAAAGAGCTGTAAGAATTATCACCAGAAAGCATTACCGTCACCCATCAAGCACATTATTTTATCAACTGAAGTTATTGAAGTTCCATGATTTGGTAGATTATAGTATTTTATCAGTTATTTGTAGGGCTCAAAATAACACATTACCATTAAATATCCAAAGAAATTTTGTTAAAAGGCAAAGTTGTTATAATCTTAAAGGGATAGAGATATTTGTCAAACCAAAATTCAGAACTAGTCTGAAGGGAAGGTCTACCTCAATCCAAGGAGTTGGGTTGTGGAATGGTCTAGAGAGTGATGTGAAAAATGCCAAGTCAATGTGTACATTTAAGAAAAAGATCAAAGCTGGATTGTTAAAAAAATATATATATATATGAAGTAGCTTAGTGTGTTTTTTGTATTAGAATTAGAAAAATTAGAAAGAGTTATTCATTTTGTTCCGTTACTTGAAAATTATTATGATTGAAATAATTGTTTGAAAAAAGGGGCAGATATAATAAGATTTTTTCTTCTTTCTGCTGCCTTTCATTTTAAATCTCTTGTATCTTTTTTATATTGTTATGGAATTGTTTTGTACTTTTATAAATGAATAAACTTTATACCATACCATACATTCTCAGGATTTATGAATACGCCAATTTCAAAAATACAAAACACTAAAACAAAACTGCTAATCTCTTACTCAAAGTAAGCACAAAAACAAACGTTGGTTACGTACTGTAACCCCAGATTCTATGAATATAAGCGTAGCCCTTTAAGGCCTTCGCTTTAGTGGTTTATCCCGTTATGCAGAGCATAAGCA